ACTTTAATAATATAAATAATATCTATTACTTCCTCAGCTAGTGTGTGCTAATTTGATGGGATACGAATTTTAAAAAAAATAAGTAAAAAAAAATTATATTTTATTGATAAATAAAATATAAAAAAATATTTTTTTTACTAAAAAAAAAAACAAGAATAAATTTTGATGACAAAAAAACATATTTAGACAAAAGAGCATATATTTTTTCGCAAAAATTAATATTTTGATATTATTAATATAATTGTTCATATCTAACCTATTCAAACTAAACAATTAAACAAGCACATTGTATATATATGATCAATTAATTAATATATTTATATCTTTGTGGGTGTAGAAGAATAAATATTTTTTATAAATATTTTTTATTATGATTTAAGTATTGCTATTATATTTTTAAGAATCATTAGCATTATTGTATCAAATCAAATGATCTATTATCTCCGATGCTTTTTATATTGCATTGTTCGTAGACGTAAATTCAAAAAGCTCCAGCAAGGAATGCCGCCAGATCAAGCATCACTGTTCCCGTTAGTCAACCTGAGATAATTCCCACGCAAGAATCCATGATTACGATTCAACCAAAACGTCGAGGCAGACTACGAAAGGAAAAAGTCTTGGAGGCTGCAACAGGGACTCAAAGCGAGCAGATATATACATTTATTAATGAATTTTTTACACTCTAATATTGTTAATTATCCAATGATTTTGTAGGGCCATCTATGTAGGAGCAACTGCATAACACGGGAGCAACCCGCATCCTCCCAACTGTCTCAGCACCAAAACCACCACTACGACGCCGTCTGGATAGGGTCCCAAAACGTGGTAAACAACTAATGTTCACAAGACGGCCATCAACTCGATCGCAAGTTGGGTAAGCTATGGTTCAAGGGCAGCGGTTCGTGGGCGTAGAGGAACTCGGTACGGTCCTTTCTACAGAGACAAAAATGTGAACCATCTTGTGTTCAAACTTTTCTATAAAAGTTGTAATAATGACAACAATTCTACATTGCAGTGTTTGTTTCTAAACTATGTTCTGGATGACATAACTTGTTTTGTTGCATTGTGTTGTGGTACATATTTTGAATTATGTTAAGGATAGCACACTTTCTTTTGTGAATTGGTGGACAATTTCAGTTTGTGGAATGACATTGTGCTACCTCTTTTCAATTATACGTGGTAATGCACATGTTATGCATACGTTATGATTTATTTTTTTATTGAAGGAATGCACGGGTGTGTAGGAAAGCACATATTGTATTGTGGTGATGCAAATGTGTGTAGGTATGCACATGTTGTATTGTAGCAATGCACAAGTTGTATCAATACAATTGACGTTTAATTACATAGACTTCCACATAACACAAAATATTGTAAAAATACACTTCCACGTAAATATATGTTCACAATATACAACAAAATAAAATAGACTTACACTTTCACATAAAGATATGTTCACAACATACAACAAAATAAAATAGACTTCCACATGCTTCTTAAATTAACGACTCTCAGGATTCAATACACATACATTCTCTTCGTTCTACCGTCCATCAACTACAATTTAAATCAATCAATCCACAAAGCATATTACTCGATCATCAAAACACCTGGACAACCTTTTGTACCATTGTTACGCAGTAGGTAGACGATGAACACCATTCCAGCAACAACAGTACTAACTTCATATGTAACACAGAGTCCTCTGTTATCTTTCTAAGAAGCACAACCTCCTTCTCTTTTGCATTTAATTTCTTCAATAGCCCAAGAATAACAACCTTACTCCATCAACAAATTGGAGGGTCTTCCCACTTGAAGCAACCACATCCCCTTCCACCATTCTGAATTTAAAAATAAAAAAATGAGATTTTAATTATCATCTACGAATGTTCATATATGCTTAATTTTGTTTTTACAAACACAGATTTTGAATTACCTTATAATATTTATAAGAGTGAAATCGACAACCTGGGTTATCATTGGTCCAAGAACACCTTAGTTTTGCCTTCAACCCGCAGTGGCATTCGACAGATCCAACAACATCGGACATATCGGCGGTGGTTTGAGACATCAGCGTATTTTCCCTTGGTATCCCCGCGACAGAAATTGAGGAAGAAGACAATGTCGGTCGGCTTGGAGGAATTGAGGTGGAACACCAAAAAAGATCGAAAGAAATTTGATTATGTTGAAGATGATAAATGAGATTGAAATTGAATATATAAGTGTTGAGTAAGAAAAAAAAAACCAATGTATAGGGTTTTTAAATTGGATTGATATATAGTCCAATGAGCCTGATAATGGTAGTAGGGTCTTAACGGAGGTCGGTCAAAAGGAGGTCGGGCGAAGGAAGGTGAGACGGCCGATAAGGAGGTCGGACAAGATAAGGTCGGGCGAAGGAAAGTGAGATGGCCGATAAAGAGGTCGGTCAAAAGAGAAAGTCGGACGAAGAAAGATGAGACGGCCGATAAGGAGGTCGGTCAAAAAAGGAAGTCGGGCGAAGAAAGATAAGATGGCAGACACGGAGGTCGGACAAAAGGAGGTCAAGCGAAGAAAGATGAAATGACCGATACAGAGGTCAGTCAAAAGGAGATCGGGCGAAGAAAGATGAGATGGCAGACACGAGGTCGGACAAGAGGAAAGGTTTGTTAATTGGTCGGGCGAAGAAAGGTCTGTTAATTGGTCGCTTAATTAAGCGACCTGTTAATCACCTGATCGGTTGGCCGGTCATTTGGTCAAACAGTAGTTCAGTCGCTTGAGAGAGCAGTCAGTTGGTCGCTTGATTGAGCGACCGATGAGCCGTCTGGATGAATAGTTGTCCAGCCAATTGAAGGGACTGGATGGTGGTTGCTTGAGTGGGCAACTGATTAGTCGTTTGGTTTGGCGACCAGTTAGTATCTGTATTGGTTGATTGGTCAAAGTCCGATGGCGGAGGGGCAAGTTGTTACGTACGAAATATGTGGGCCCGTCTATGGGTCCATCAGGTGGCTAAGGGGTTTCTCGAGGCAGTCGGTCGGTCTGCAGTCTGTCTAAAGTTTGTTGGGCGGTTGAGTGGTCGTTCGGGACCGGCCGTCCATTTATGGAAGTAAAGTGCCATGAGGCGGTCGGTCGAGCCAGTTGGGTTCTGTAACTGGTGGGAGCGGTTGGTGAAACAGTTAAAACACGTATCAATGGAGGAGGAATTAGCAGGCGGTTGACGGCAGTTGTTATAACTGATCATACGGTGTTTTGAAACGTTTCCTTAGGGAATATTTAAAGATTCAGGTCTCTCTTACAATCAAATTCAAAGAATTTCTTTTGGGGATCACCATTCTACTTTTTTCAGTCCGTAGTATTTATTTTCCTAGTTTACTTATGTATCGTACGGTGCTTAGGGATTCTTAATCTCAGACATTTATTTTATCAAATTCGAAGATAATTTCTATTTTCGGATTTTACTTTTTATTGTTGAAAAATTGCATCAACAATAAGATTTGTAATTTAATCATTCGGGGTTAAATTGAAAATATCCAGAGATCAACCAATGATTTGTCATTTATAAAATTTAAGTAATTAAATATTTTTTACAATTTCAAGCACAAGCCACATATAATGTGCCACGTGTTACTGGATCTCGGGTGCGCGTAGAAATGCATGTCACGTGACTGTCATGTGGGACGGGAGGACGTAAATGACGAGTTTTGTAGAAATGCGGAGTATATTTTGCCAAGATGATAGATTAAGGACAAAAGTGATAATGAATATAAGTGCAGGATATTTATTACAATTTTTTCCAATTTATTCTTACAAAATAACACATTAAAATACTAATTATTAAATGCTAAATAAGTATTTACTATAATGTAAATAAGTATTCACTGTAATATTTAATATATAAAATATACTTATAATATAATATCTTTAAAAAATAAATATTTAATTTTATATATATATTTTTAAAAAATATTATCAACATGTAAAAACAGATAACTAAGAGTTTTAAATAATTTTGCAAATAATAAAAATTAAATAAAAAATGTATTTGAAACTACCTTCATTCCCCATACTGTGTTACTGTTATCATAGAAATAAGAATTTAGGACAATTATTATTAGTAAATAGTTAAAATATACTACTTCCGTCCGGTCAGAAAGTAAACATCTTTTTTCACAATTGTATTTAACATTAAAGATATCTTTATATTTGTATAGTTTACTCCAAAAATATGATTATATTTGTATTATAAGAGACTAATAAATGTATTTTTGTCATTTTCTATTTATTTGTACTATATTTTGATTTAATAATTAATATTCAAAAATCAATACAAAAAAACCACTGTATAATTTGTGGCTGAACGGAGGTAGTATTACTGAAAGTAAATTATAATACAATACAAAATCATATATTAGGTTAAGATAATTAATTAAAAATTTATAAATTAGAAAATTTAAAATATAATTAAATGTGTAATTTTTTTTAGAAAAAAAAAATAACATAAGATGTGGAACGGATGAACAAAAATATAAACAGTAGACGTGTGTCCGAGAAAGTATAATATAACTAGATATTCATATTCTTACAAAAATAAATAAATGTACTCCATCTGTCCCGCTAATTTGTCCATCTTAACTGGAGCACAAAGTTTTATATATTGTGTAATTAGTAAGTAATTAAAAAGTGTATTAGTAAAAAGAAAGAATTGACAAATTATGTGAGAACCGGAGAGAGTAATATTTTTTAGACGAACAAATTTCAATAAATAATTTAAAAATAAAATTGAAAAGATAAGTTAACACATCGAAAAGTATTCGGGAAAATGGTTTTGAATATACAACATGCCACACAATGAATAACTTTTCTTTTGATTTTGAATAGTAAAATTTTGAATTGAAATAGTTATTTGATGTAATATAAACATGTATTAATGTAATATTTTAACTGTAAAATTAAATTTTAATACAATATAATAAATAAAAAATAGATATTTAATTTAATTTTTTACGAAAATAAAGTTGAAATAGTAAAATTGAATGTAAAATCTTACCAATGAACGTACCCTACGTAATTCAACAAAGTATACATATATATTTATACATACATATATATCACTTAGAGCTCGACGAAATCCTTTTGGACAAAGAAGCAGCCGGAAGGGCCACCATCCGGCAGCAATGCAAGCTTCACAGGGCCAGCGGCGCCTTCTTTCACCGGCACTGTCCCCGTGTTTTTGTTAATATCTGTTTTCACGTAACCCGGGCACACCGAGTTCACCCGAAAGCTCGGGTATTGCTTAGCAAGAAGCTTTGTGTAGGCATTTATGGCTGCTTTTGAGACTATGTATGCTCCCATGTAATTAGGCCAACCTTTGCCTTCAAGTTTCCCTTCTTTGAAATCCTCGAGGAATCCTCTCACGACTTTGTCGATTCCCTCTTCCGTCAAGTTTTCCTCATCCTTCAAGATCCCTTTCGCCCATTCGCTCGGTATGTACTAAGAACATAAAACAATGAGGTTTGAAACATGACGATGATGTTGGGCTATATATATACATATATAGGGAATAGTTACGGTGCTGATTCATACTGATTTTTCATATCAGCATGCGTTATATACACAAACAACAGACATTAGTATTACAAATAGCACATGTTGTGTATAATAAAGGGGTGTGCTATTTTTTAATAATAATAAGTGTGTTATATACAAGTATGTCATGTGCTAAAATCAACTATTGTGTGTGTTGTATGAGACTAGAGCATGTGTTGTTAGTTCATGTGTTGTATTTCTATTATATTAACATATATAATGTGGTGTTTGTAGTAATATTGTGTGCTGTTTGTAGTAATAATTTATGTTGTTGAGACTATAGCATGTGTTTTTTGTTCATGTGTTAGTATTTGTATTATATTAACATACATAGTGTGCTTTTTTTGTTTATTTATTGTATTTGTATTTGTATTATATAATGTGTTGTCTAATAGCACATGATGTGCTGTTCAGCAAAATGCGGAATTTAAAATTCAGTACTGTAGCTGCCGCTATATATATAATATGGTACCTCAAGATTCCCCGCAGAAGAGGATACATTTACGATTCTTGGCGAGTTTGAGAGGCGGAGAAATGGAAGAAGAGCTTTTGTTGTCCTTTTGTACCCATAGTAGTTTGTTTGAATTGCTTGCGCCCCTAAGTCGTAGGTATCATTCGCAATGCTACTCCAATCTATAGTAACTTTGCCTGTCTACAAGAGAAGAGAAGTTTCTGTTTTAGGACATAACTTTTAGGTGACATAGTCATTGCGCATCTGAACTTACTGCAACAACATCAGCCTCGGCCGTAGCCCTGGTCGGGTCTAGAATCTCCCACTTCACATCGGATCCGAGAACTGCTGCATTGTTCACCTGCAGAGCTTTGTCAACAAAGATATGTCCTAACTATTAAGGGGGGATTCTAAATTTAGGCTGTACCAAGATATCGAGCTTTCCAAATCGGGACTCAATGAATTCAGACAGGGCTGTGGCTGAATCATCCTTGGCCACATCTAGTCGATGAAAGATCAGATGATCGGAAAGGCCAGACGCGGCGAGTTTCTCGACAGCTTCAAGGCCTTTGTTTTCGTCCCGAGATGTCAGCACCACGGTGATGCCCTGAGACGCCAGCTGCCGACATATCTCCAAACCGATACCCTTGTTTGCCCCGGTGACAACTGCATACCTGCGAGGGCGACGGTAATAAGCTTAGATCGAATCGATCGATACCATCATGTAATGTAAGAAAAGGGTTATGCAAGAGATTTCGTTGGCTTACCTCTTGGTGGCTCCGGCCATGAATGAAGATTAGGTGGATTCGACCACAAGTATGTTTGTGGCTGCAGTGCCTTGGCCTTTTGTGGCCTCGATGTAGATAGTATATCTCCAAGTCGATTCACGTTGGTAGAAATAAACACTTCTTTACTATTGATATTAATTTGTTTTTTACTTGGATATACTATAAATTTAATAGTAATGTATAAAAAATGTTATATTAAATTATTTTTTCAATTTCACAAAATCTTCCTAATCCATTTTAAATCACAATAAAATAATAGCGCTTTATTTAGATAGTCATATTTCATCTTAATGGTAGTAACTTTAGAATTCTCCCACCTGTATAGCAACAAATGATTAATGGGCCACCATTTATATTACTTCTTCCGTCCCATAACAAACTATCAATTTTTTCATTTTAGTCTGTCCCATAATAAAGTATTTATTTATTTATTTATTTTTAGTAATTATACTATCCATCTAACATTACAAATACCTTTATAACTTACAATATATTACACAAATGTCATTACGTTTATATCACACCATACTAATAATAAGATTATTTTAGTAATTTCTACTTTATTCCTACTACATCCCAATATAATACTAGTATTTCTAAAACTACGTAGAAAAAACAAATGGATACTAGTTATGGGACGAAAAGAGTATAAATAATTGTAAAAAATATTTTTGTTAAATTGTAAATATCTATATATCAAATAATTTTAACAAAGAAGTAAAAATAATAATAAACATAATCTACAATATATGATTATATTGAAAATATGGTCGTGAACATGACCTAAAACATGACCCTGTTGAGAACATGGTTGTATTGAGAACATGGGTAGGAACATGACTTTGTTGAGAACACGGGCAAGAGCACGACCGCATTCAGAAGTGCAGGGTAATCAACACGGCCGTGTTGAGCCCAACACGGCCGTATTGGCGGCCAGTCACCTCCTGTGTCATCCACCAACACAGCCGTGTTGAGTCCCATTCAACCATCTTAGGACTAAAATTTATAAATTTTCATTTAAGTGAGACCAAAATTGATAAATTTTTTTAATAAAATCAAAATTAATAATTATGATATTTAATAGGACCAATGATTTTTCCTCTATTTTTTAGAATAACAATTGAGAACTAATATTAGAAGGACCGAGTGAATATATACTCTCTCGTTACCTTCGCAAAATATTTATTTTGTTATTGCATCATTTTATTAAATATTAAAGTATTTTTACATTTGTCTAATATTTTATACTACTCCTGTCCGGCTCAAGTGTCTCATTTATTTTTTGTGTTTTAATTTTAAATATTAATTATTTTATCAAAACGTAGTACAAATTGAGAAAAAATCACAAAAGTATTTTCATTAGTGTCTTATAATACTAATAGAAGAACATTTGTATAAAAATTTATACAAATATAAGGATATTTTTAATGTTAAGTACAATGATACAAAAGATAAATGTAACCCTTAGATGCGGACGTAAAGAGTATAAATATTTTTATATTTGTATTATATAACACTAATACAAATATTTTTATTTTTTATTTTGATTCGTATTACATATAAATATAATATGAATATCAATATTTCAATAAAAAAAAACAAATACATATAATCTACGTTATCTTAAAGTATTTTATATAATAATAGATTAATATTTTTTATATTTATTATATAAAATTTTATTTTTTATATAAATATTTATATTGATTATATTTGCATAATAAAATGTAAAATTATATTTATAAAATCAAATGTAATTTTTTTATATAATATTAAATAAATATTTTAAGTCATCATCACCCACATTATTTATTATATACTTATAATATAAAATTATCAAAAATACTTTAAATTTAAAGGTGTGTTTATTTTGTGTTTTGGTTTGATTTTTTATTTATTATTTTTTTACGTGAATTATAGAGAATTGTGTAGATAATATAAAAATAATAATATATAATTTTTGTTGGAAAAAGATACTCAAATTTTTTTGTTAAACAAACAAAAACCAAAATTTTCTTTTAATATTTCTATCTAAACGAAGCCCAAAACTTTCACAAAATCTTTTATACAGTCCAAAAACTCCGAAAAATTGGAAAGGAATCCTATCTCTAACTCTCATTACCCATGAGTGCTTTCATTAGGAATTTTCATCCGAAAAAAGTGATTGGTATTTTTTTTTTATTTGAGTTTTGATTTAAATAATTTTAAATATGTGATATTTTGGAAGTTAAAATAATAACTCTAAAGATTACATTTACTGTACTTTAACATTAAAAATATATTTATATTTGTATAATTTTATTTTTTACATCCTTATATTAGTATTATAAGACACTAACACAAGTATTTTTATATAATAATTAATATTAAAAATCAACACGTAAAAAGTAAATGTAGACCTTAGAATCGAACGAATGTAGTATATCTTTAATGTATAATGTGCGGATTGAATAATTGAATATTATTGATTTAGGTTTGAAACTCAAATAAAACACACCACTCGATTTTTTAGTGTATTAACTTATTTGTGTTTTAAGCGGTTAATTCATTATAGTAAATAAATTATTTCTCATATCTTTTTATTTCTTTATTTATCTATAAATTATCTGTATTATAAATTATTTAAATTCAAGATGTTATAATTGCTTTCTAATTTATATAACTATAGAAATATAACAATTTATATATTGTAGTATATATGTAAAAATTTTAATATTAGAAATAAATGTAATTATAAAGTACACATGTATTGTTAAGTTGTTGTCAAAATTATAGTTAAAAGCTACCCATACTACATTTTTAAAGTGGGTTATTACATTGCACTGATTTATTTTTATTAATTTAATTATTAGAATTTTCTTATTCTATTTCAATATTCAATTATTATTATTATTTAGATAAATATAATTTATATATTTGCACATTTTAAATTAATTTCATTATAAAAAATTTAATCAAATTTATAATTTTAATCTCAATCGATGTTGAATCAAATTTAAAAGTTAAACTCAATAGATGCTAAAAACTATAAGTGGAAGTTATTAATTTAACTAGTGTGTTGTTCTTTTTTTTTTTAATAGAATACTATTGATTACTTAGTATATATTCTGATAAATATATTTTATACATCTATTTATTATTTGATTTTGAGTTTGTTTATTACTTTGATAAATAAATATAAATTTATATGATTATTAAAAATAAATATTTTATTCCTCAAACGAATGTATGATACATTTATGTTCTATTGTTTTGAGAAGACATTATTGCTTAAAAAAAAAAAAAAAAGGTTTAGTTGATTAAACAATAATCTTATGCATATATATATATATATATAAAGAAAGCATACCTGATTTTCAGGAATATATACAAGTATTTGTTGGTGTGTGAATGTGAAATAGGAAGAAAATGAATGTGAGGAGTTTATTGAGCCTAATTATGAATGGGCCTAGGCTTGAGTCATTAATGTATATTTATATATATATATAGTCAAGATTGGGCTTTGGGCCGGGCCCATTTGCGAGAAAATTAATTAATTTAAATTTTGTATTTTATCCCATTAATTTATTTTGACAGTTGAAATTCAAATTCATCGCACAAAAGAAAGTGATTGCAGCAATAATCAAAATGTGCCAAATAATGGGGCGGTTGCTATTTTGTGGCATTTTAATTTAATTTTCTTTATTAAATTAAAAAATAACACTCAGGTAAAGTGAATCAAAAATTCAGTTGCTTCTCTTATACTCTTTGTTTTTTTTTTTTTTCTTCCAATCTTCTCCAAAAACCTTCCAAAATTTTTTCTTAGTTCGGTTTTTGGTGGAATCGTAGATTCTAATCGATTCGTTTTATCATGGGAAGCAATCGGTGGCGGGCCAAATCTGCTTCAAGAAAACGCAAAACTCGAATCTTCTTAATCGGATATGTTATCTGATTTCGAATTGAATTGAAGCATCTCGATTTTCAATATTACATATTTGCTAACACTATTGACTGCCGGCACAACACCTAAAGTTGAAGACTAGGTTCTAGCAAACCGTGGAAGAGTACAAGTTACGAGATAAATTAATCCTCAGACATAGACATAGAGAGAAAAGAAAGAATCGTATGGGTGACAATGTCCGATTTTTTTCAATTAAACAAGGCAGTATCAATTCACCATAGCACCTAAATTGTCCAGCAATTTACAACATTCAACTTTATTAAACTAAAAGAAAGCAAATTATTGTATAAATGGATGAAGATAATTTCAGAAATAGTCAGCTTCTAATGATGAACTGCCATATTTATTTCTACCTAGGCATAGATTCAAAATTGGTTATCCAATTATAAACAAATAGACAGAAATACTATGTAACAAAAAAGGATTTTACAGACAAACCAAACCAAACCAATTTTAGTGGAAGTGAGGAGATATTGTTGTCTGACAAGTTAAGCTCTGTAAGAGAGTATAGATCCACAGTGCTCTGAGAACAAATTAAAGATGTAATCAAGAAAACCTTAGGACTACACTCCACAGGAAGTAATCGAAAATAAAATTTGAACACAGATATTCTTGATACCTTGTTCGTGTATGTATTTCAAAATCAAACCAAATCAAACACCAAGAGAAATTCCAATGTTCACACAAATTTAAATCCTTCTGGATCCTATAGAAAAGAAAAAAATTTAAGAGCAAGAGAAGCTATAAATTGGTGATGTATTTGAAAAACCTTTTTGGAGCTACGAGAGTGAACCAGAGCCATGGAACTAGCTTCGAGAGGATGATCGCCGACGGGAAATAGGGTAGGTGTGAATACTTTTTATATTTTATATTTTTTTAATATAGTAACACTGGGCCTCCTTATCTATTTTTAGAAAGATAGATGTGCCTCTTTTTTATCTTTTAAAAATAATTTTATAGTATTGGTGCTGGGCTTTCAGTGCTTTTATGTTTTATTATTGATAAAATTAAAAAGCAAGCATGTCAAATGGAACCAAATTCAAATAATAATAATATTATATATTCTTTACATCCGCCAAATTTTATTCCATTTTTCATTTTCGTCTGTCTGCTGAATTTATTTTAAAGATAACAAATCAACATTTAATTATCATATTCTATTTAACACTTATTTACAATAAATACCAATAACTTTATTAC